CTCTTTCTGTGTTGGGTCCCATTAAAGTATACATGCCTGGCTTTCACACAGCAATGAAAGATGTTGCATTTTCCCAGAGGGATCCTGTCACTTTTTCTTAATATAGTACCTAACCTTGAGATACATGTAAACAGGTGTTTACTAAATTATTTTAATAATGACAGTCATGGCTTGGAGTGTTGTTTCATTACCAGAATGTTTAGCACTCATGTTGCTAAATATTTAGCACCTGATATTTTGCAAAACAATTCCCCATGCCTTTTTTATCAGTCTTCTGCTCTTCTCCACAGTGCCCGTCATTAACTTAGGCAACAGCGAGGACAGACTCGAGAAACAGACGAAATCAGTGTGATTATTTTGCTAATTATTCTTGTTGTTAAGTCTCCAGGTGTTTCCCAAACAATCTATCTGTTTTCCTTAGTCCACATTAGAAAATAAAAATCGTCCCCCGATTTTGAATGCTGAGCACTGATTTCAGAGTCCCTGAAGGAACAGTTGGGAGGACACTGGCTGACCTGTAACTACTGTATAACAAATAGCTGCAACACCGAGCAAGAAGAATTACTGTAAAAGGAAGAAAGTGCTGTCAGCCACTCCCTCACCCCTTAATACAGTGGTAAGGGTTTCTCAGACCTCATAGAACTTACCACAACAAGTAAGAAAGCCAAGTGAAGAAAGGAATAGAAAAGAAAACACCAGGAGTTGGAAAACATCACTGAAAATTAGAACAAATCTCAGTTACTTCCTAACCCAGGTCTTGGGAGCTGTTCTGCCATTACCCAGCAGGAGACCAGCCAGAGTCATAAACAGAAATCAGCTGTGAAGTGTACCCAGTTGTTTTTGTCTTTTTCCCTAATAAAGTAAGGAAAATATCTTCCTGCCTTTGAGCCAACAAGCTTTGTAACCCTATAGGTTAGGGTTTCCAGATCCCAAATTTCGGGTCGCCTCATGCTCCACTGGGCTTGGGAACCACTGGCCCCTCTGGTTACTAAACCATAGTAAATCAAGGAGAAAATTAATACACAGCCATAACGAGTTCAGCTAATCACCCAAAAGGCTCCCTCAAGGCTCTGCAGGATACTGTCTATGCTAGAGGTCAACAGAAGTCTGAGGGAAGAGTGTGCAATAGAGTGGGAGAAATTCAAGGTGGGTTTTCATTACCACAGGGCGGCAAGGTCACTGAGGAACTCAGTCATACTAGAGGGCCCTCCAGTATGTGTGGTGGCATGGGGACACACACTGGTCTTTGGGGTTCTCTGCACAGGGTCAGGTGTGGACATGATGAAAGAGGCACAGCAGACAGGAAATTCTCTCCAAACCCTCCGGACATCTCTCCTCACCAAACCAGACATGACTGCCCCTTTCCTGACTCCTAAGCCCTGGAGCACCACCTACTGGGAGAGGCAGAAACCACAGCCACTTTAGGTCTTGCTGGGTCTGCATTCATTGCTTCACGCAGGCAATGCATTCAGTCAGTCATGTACTAAGTGCCTAGAATGAGCCAGGGCCTGTGTAAGAAGTGGGGATAAAAAGGTCAGCAGGGCCTCAAAACTCCCATTCAGTAAGCTCCTCGGACTCCTTGAGTCTGGGTCTTATGCACAGAAGAATCCACCTTAGGCAGTTTTAAGTCAAAGAGAAAATTAAATGAAGAGTCCCAAGTCATCATCAAGAGTCTGGAGAGAGCCCCAGGGGCTACTGGGTCACCATTTTGTTCGCAGAGTACTATCCCTATAGCATCTACCTGCAGAAAACAATTCTCCACCGAATAGGAGGTAGAAATGTCCAGTCTTAGGGGACTGCATTACCAATATTCCTCTCTGCAACACACTGGGTCCCCAAAGTGCATTAGGTTCTTGTGTAATCTATTTTAAAAAGCTTTTCCTTAGTGTGTGTGTGTGTGTGTGTGTGTGTGGGCACACACTTAAACAATGTTAGCATGTGATCTATGGAAATAATGAATAATTGATTCTTGTAATATAGTCTATTATATAGTATTCTGATATGCTAGTAAGTATCTGAGCAACACCAGGAACGATATTTTGAACCTTAATAGCCCTTTTTCTCCAGTTTCCTCTATGCAGTATCCAGAGAAAGAGAAGCTAATATCACACTTTCTTTAACCTGCACAAGCTGAGGTGGAAGCAACATTGTCCTTTGACTGTTTGTAAAGAGAGTTAACTGTGATCATTATTATTATTACTTTATTATGATGATTACTATTCTGTTGTATTGCTAAGTAGTTAAAAGGAAAGCATGGTGTGTCTTCCACTCCCAGAACACATGTTTCTGCCCTCTGCCTTGTCTCCAGCAGATTAGGGACATACTGATGTTTTATTTGTTAAATGGTTTACTATTAAGAAACTCATTTGCTAGCTGGCGTCTGCAATGGAAAATCATCCCAGAAAAGTGGGAGGCTGGCATGGGACCAGAGCAGATAGGGTACGAAAGGTGAGGCAAGGCCCACATGAGCCACTCCCGGCTTGAAACCCAGGGTCAAAAGCCCTTCAGGGGTCCTCTAGGCTGTTCTGATGCGCTGACCACCAGCCTCCATACCCCAACCCTCAACACATACACACATACACACCCCTGAAAAACTGGAGGAGAAAGGGCTGATGCATTCAGTGCCTTTGAGCCTGTCAGGAAGAGAAGAATGTAAAGCCCCACCACTGGCAACTTTGCTGGTTCTCGACTCTGGTTTGTCACCATCACTGATCTGAGGTAATCATTTGGCTTCTCTTCTCTCTCCTGAAACTCTAACCCTCAATTATGTTTCATTGCCCCTTTGGTTATTAAGTCAGAGCAACCCTTTCCTTGTAAATATTCATGCTCTTCCAGGTCTGTCTCTCCCCACCTTCGTCACCCTCCTCTTCTCCCACCAAAAACCTGGACAATGACAAAGACCAAGGATGGGAAATGGAAAGGAGACAGGGATCCTGGTGCTCTTTCACCTGAGAACTGCATCCAGGAATGGAGGCAAAACTGCTCCTGTGAATTATATAATCACTGCAGCTTCAACCAAGAGAACTGGAATTCAGGTTGCCATAGTGTTTGTTAGCATGTTGCTGGAAAGGCAGAGCTCCCGGCCCTGCTCCCTTGCTCCCTTTCCCTCCATCTTCCTCACAAACCTCTCCAGGGTCGCCTCCTACTTTTAATGTCTGCTCCCTGCATTTGTGTGTGGGGAGGGGGCAGCTGGGGGACAAAGAGGCAAAAAGAAGGAAGAAAAAGGGCTAAGAAGGGGTTTATCTCATACTAAAAGGAGACCTTGTAAACTATTTAAGATTATTGTGAATAATTATTAAAATTAAAATTATTAAGTTAATAATAATTATTACCACAGTATCCTACCATTGTTAGTATAGTAAAGGTCAATACTACTGAGTGCTCCTCTTCGAGGCTGCTTACACTGAGGTGAGACCCTGGAGGGGAGAAATCTTCACAAATATCACCTTTTCCTTTGTGTCTCTCATTCCCTACCTCCTAATCCATTCACTACTCATCAGCTAGGAAGGGGACAGGGGAACAGGTGAGGGACCGGGCATGGGGTAGAGAAATCCAGGGACAGAAGCTGCCCTTGTGACCCCCAAAGCCCTGGCTCACCCTAGAATCCGTGACCCTTGACAAAATTCTTTCTACCAAAAGAGGCCCAAATCCCCACATTGCCATCCAAAGCAGAGCAACAACTGGCCACTAGGATGGACGGAGACCAGGCAGGTAGGGTGCCTCTGGCTCTAAAGGGTAGGGGCACTGTCCCCAAATTGTAGAGATGGGGCAAAAGGGAGGAGGCTGGGGAAAAAAGAAACATGGAGACAACCCCTCCGCTAGGCTGGTCCTCGGAGGATCACTTAAAGTATCCCAGGAAGTAACAGGACCAACTGCGACAGGTATTCAGGAGGAAGAGACTGAAGAGTGTAAATACGGGAGGCTTGGGAAACTAGGAAAGAAAAGGGAGCGACTACACCCAAAGAGACAGAGAAAGCATGGAGAACAGACAGGAGGCTGCCACACTCCAGCAAGACCACCCCTCTACACTCCATCTTGACCTTAATTGCTGAGCAATGCCAAAAAGCAATCGCTTGTTAATAAGGGCGGAGGGGGGGAGGTGCGGAAGGAGAAAGTTTCCAAGAAGTGGAGAGTTACCTGAAAGCCCATCCCCCTCACAGGGGGAGCTGGTGACACTTGATGCGAAGGATGGAGATGCTTGGAAAACACTGGGCAATAGTGTGCAGCCGCGTGAGCTCGGCACACCCTTTTATTTCCTTAACACATGAAAAAGCAAAGCCCACACACCGCCCGAATTCTAACCGCTTACATCCTCAGGTGCTAGCTCACATGCGGGTGCGAATAAGAACACACCGGGCGTGGGCACCCTCGGGGTCAATGGCAGTGGAGAGGTGGGTGGGTGTAGGTGGGCCGGGGAGAGAGGAGATGGAGAGGGAAAGAAACTGGAGAAAAGGAGAGAGGCACCGAGACTTGCATCTGACCCCCTGGCCCCCCCCCGCCACACGCA